CTTGGTGCAGCCATTTTGGAGGAGTTGAGACTGGAAGAATACATAATGTTTGACAGAGAGAAAGGCGGGCATTGCAGGGAATGTAGGGAGGTAGGGGTGAGGAGGATGAGTTTGTGAGAAAGTGACAAGAATGGTCTGACTAACATAGAAAGCAGGCTGGGAAGTGGGAATGAGGGTGGGTTGGTAAAATGAGGAGCGCTGATGGAGGTAGCTGAAAGCTAGTCAAAGGGGCTTATGCTTGTGTAAAAAAATAGGAACTATTATGAGATTTTGAATAGTGAGATATAATAAAAAAGATATTTTTAAAAGAAGGGGTGGCAGTGGTACAGAGGGTGGTTGGGAGTTGGCAGGATGGGTGAAGGGCAAGAAAGACTTCAATAAAGGAGAAAGTTCCTTTCAACTTGGTGGGAAGATTATATGTGCAGTAATTGTGTCCTGAGTGTGTGGGGAACATAGAAGAGATAGAATTCAGGATTTTTTCCTTATGATTCAATGCAGACTTTGGAATTATAAAATAATATAAATTTTTAGAAAGTTAGAAGTTCAAATGAAAAAGTTATATATTTCTAAAAATTATCCATTTCATCAAGATCTATTTACACAAAATACTGATGATTTTAAAAATTCCTTTCTGAGATAGTGTTCTATCACCTTTCTCATTCTTAATGTGTACTTGTGTTTTCTCTCTTTTTCTTAACAAATTTTCTAGAACTCTTGGCTTAATAAATTCTAATTTTTGTTTTACTTTTCAATTAATTCCTACTTTTATTATTAGACTTTTCCCTTCTTCATTTTGGCTTATTTTGCTTTATATCTTTTTCTAATTTCTTGAATTGAAGATTTGGTTCCATTCTTTGACTGTTTATTAATAAATGTATTCAAGGCTGCACATTTTCTTATGGGTTTTGCTTTGAACAAATCCACAGATTTTTATATGTAGTGTTATCATTAGTGTTAATTTTTAATGACCTACAGCTTTAACTTCTAGTTCTTTGAACTGGAAATTATTTGTAATACCATAAGTGGTTAATTCCCTTCCCAGTCATTTATTGACTATCTTTTAATTATTAATTTCTAGCTTTATTGCATTGTGTTCAGAGGATGTAGCTTTTATGAATCTTTCCTATTGCTTCTTTGAGTCATAATACATGCTCATGTTTTGGTAAATGTTCCCTAGCTATATATATATATATATACACACATTATATGTATACATATATATACATTAATATACATTAATATACATATATACATTAATATACATATATACATTAATAATAAAAATAGCTGATTCCATGAGTGCTTACAAGAAGAAAGATATAAATGTACAGACAGCAAAATAAAGTACTGGTAGAGTTGATACAACAATTTGAGAAAGGTGATAGAACACTATCTCAGGAAGGAATTTTTAAAATCGTCAGTATTTTGTGTAAATAGATCTTGATGAAATGGATAATTTCAATTATCAATTATCAATTTAATTTTTCTTCCAGGCTATGAACTCATAACACCTCTTCTATTTCTGGGGGTTAACCTCCAATACACAGGAGTATAAACCATATGAGCCTTTTTCAGTTATGGATTGCTAGGTAAATACGCTGTGACAACAAAGCTCCATTCCCCCAGAGTGTCAGGTAAGTTCTTGCTGGAAAATGCTCTTTCATGATAGAGAAAAAGAGATCTAGCAATTATCACTTTTCCCACCCAAGAGGGGACAACTTCTTCTTTCACAATGTTATTAATCAATGACCATGGCAATTAACACTGCTTTTCCCAAGGTAAAGATACATGTGTGTTTTGTTTTGAGGAGGCAAATTGCCTTTACCAACAATGTATGTAGTACAGGTCTGCTGTGGGAATTTCACGAGCCAATAGCGTGCAGGAAAATATTTCTTAAGAAGCCAATAAATAATGTACTCCAAACCAATGATTGATTAATCACACTATTGTTCCAGGCAAGGGGAGATGAAAGGAATAACGTCCTTATTTAGTTAAGAGTACCTTTATAGGAGTTGGTACTTGGGAGTCACGGTTTAGCCAGCCAAGAGCCGATGTCCAGCTGCAAGCCCCAAAGTAAAAGTTCCCTGTTGCTAGAGCATGTTGCTAGGGAATGATGGAGTTGGTGTTGAAGGACAAGATATTCTTCCTGGGGCCACTGTATGGCTTTCCCCACTGCTGGTAAATGAGTCTTTACCTTGGCAGAAGCTAATTGCCCCAGGATTTTCAGAGACCTCTTTAGAACAGCAGAGTCCTCTTGCCCAGACTGAACACTCTTAGAGACTCCTCACAAACTCTTGGTAATTATATATATGTTTTTAAAGATTCTATTTATTATTTATTTGAGAGAGAGAGAGAGAGGGCATGAGCAGGCAGAGGGAGAGGGAGAAGCAGACTCCCCACTGAGCAGGGAGCGCAGTGTGGAGCTGGATCCCAGGACCCTGAGAGTATGAGTTTGTCATAAACTAGTAGAGTAAAACCACTTCATTTAAGTAATGAATAAGTGGATTTGAAATCATATCAAACAGTGTCAGTGTACAGAATGATCTGCGTCATGCAAGAGCTCAGTCCCCATTGTTTTCCGACTCATCAGTATCTATTCTTCCAATCCAGAAATGTCAAACATATTTTAGGATATTTATCAGGTTTATTGAACCTTAAGACTCTTTCCTTCAAATTTCCTGTGGATTTTCCTCAAACCTCATTACTAAACGAAGGCTTACTGAGAATGAGTCAGTGATATTGAGAGCAGTCTCATGCAGTGATCTTCAAACTAAGGAACAGAGATGTATCTTAAGGGAATCAACTTCTAGACCCTCAACTTCTCTATGTATGCTTTCCTAAAAACGATCCGCCTGAGAACTTGACTGTGGCTTTTATTTCACAACGGTGCTTCTCCAACTTTACACAAGAAGGACTCTTTCTTTGCAACGTTGTTCTGCAGTTTGAGAAGCTCGGGGGCATTAAGGAAAGGAGTACTTCTTTTTGTGTATGTAGGGGAAACCTCCTTCAATCAAATAATTCTAGATCCCTGTCATTTTATTAAGAAATGCATTTCCAAAGAAGTTTTTGTCTTTTATGTTCAAAATCTTTTAAAAATTGTAGTATATTTAAGTAGTTTTCATCAAATGTGCATTATTAATCATTATATTTACAATTCAACCCAGAAAAAAAAAAGAGCAATTAGAGCATTATGGTCTAATGCTACCATCTATGCCTAGAACATTAAATTAAAAAAAAATTTCAATCTCATACATGTTTTTGTTGCAGAAATTTTGAGTCAATAAAAGACTTTTAATGAAAAATATGTTGTATTCAATCTGCAGAAGTTGAATGGAAATATGATTTTGAGGAAAGAAAGGAGCAATATAAAATCTTCAATTGTTAATGAAGAGTTTGTTCATAAATTTTAATTGGATGTTTATGGGTAGCAAATCACTTCAGTATTAAGATTTCATCACATATATTTAAAAGCTATTATATAATTTTATTTGAAAATGTCAATATTTATAATAGAGGGAAATTTATAACTTCCATGGCTATTTAAACACTTAAAGTAGTGCTAAAATATTTTAGAAGTTATCTTAAAAATGTGTGGTTGCATAGTTTCCCAAAGTTTGACTGCCATTAATCTAATGTGCAGGTTGGCCCACAAACAAGAACAAGCTTTGATGGCATGCAAAATTACTGTCACTGCATACTGATATAGGAGAAATATTAGGGTTCGAAGCCGATGGCCAAGATAGATTTCTTGAGAGGTCTTTGGTGCAAAATGATAATTTTATTAAAGCATGGGGACAGGACCTGTGGGCAGAAAGAGCTGCACCATGGTCATGAGGAGTGCCCCATTATATACTTTCAAGTTGGGAGGGGGTTATGGATAGGGGAAGTCTCTAAGGAATTTTGGAAGCAAGGTTTCCAGGACCTTGAGGGGACCAGCTATTTTTAGGAAAAGGTCATTTATTACCATCTAATAAAACCTTAGTCATGAGACCCTTCAGAGTTATATCGGTGGGCCATATGCTTGGGGGATGATTGCCAACATGTATCTTGGAGGGTTTAGAGATAAAGGAAATTTCTAAAAGAATTTTTATATGTTAAAGTAGACAGACTTACAGGATCCTGGGGTGGGGAGGGGTTGGGCTAGGATAGTCATTTGCCCCTAACAAAGTATTAACATTGAGGCAGTTGAGTCCCTAGAGGAATGTCACTCTGCCTGTTTCAAGGACTTGTCAGAGGGCTGTAGGTAGTAAGGAAATTTAATAATTTCTCTTCTGCCTTTGTTTCTCACATCAGATATGTATATGTAACCCATTAGCTGTTCCTTAAATTTGTATCTTCTACAGACTGGTGGAAAATACCACGGAAATTCAGGCAACTTCTTGCATGTTTCTCCTTAAATGTGAATCTGAACAAAATAAGGCAGAACTGGGGACTTTTAGATCTGACAACACTCATCCTTCTCAATTTGCAGATGTTCTGTGCAAGAGATGATCAAGCTGTCATTCTGAGATACTGTCTCTACAGTATCTAAGGTTATCTGCCTTAGCCTCCCCATGAAGCAGAAAGTGTTTCCTCCAGCCAAGAGATTGAAACTTCTGTTTAAATTGACTGATTCCTGGTGTTGCAGAGAATAAAGTGGCCAAAGAGAGGTGTAGACCTAAGAACAAGAGCCCAAGTTTAGAGGAGAGTGCATTAAAGCTCCACACTGCCGGTTTTCATTTACCACCAATGCCAGCTACAAGTGGTAGCAAAGCACATTAGTAAGAAGCAAAATATCCACCGGGATTAACTAATGCAGTCTCCATACCTAAAGGTTCTACTCTGGCCAAGTTCTTAAGCAAAGACTAAGATTAATATAGGCACATGTTATAGTTGTGATTTATAATAAGAAATACGTATTTGGTCTTTGTCCCCATTTTTTGGCACAGAGCACCTAAAACTCTTGGAATTTCATTTGGTGGAAGAGATAGAGGTGTCTTTGTTTACGTTAATGAGGCGACTTTGGGAAAGCACCTAAGGATGGGGGCTGGTGGCTGAGGAGTCAACAACAGGAAGGACCTTTCAATTCAAAAAGTAAATGCCTGGCAGAGTAAGGGGTCCCCAACAGGACTCTGTTCTAACACTATGACCGTCTCTTCCCAACCTGTGTCCTTTCCGATATTCATACCAAATCCAAACAGGTTACTGGATATTAGGCTAAAAGTTTTTAATATCATCCCTGCCTGGAAGGAAACACTGATGTGGGAAATGAAGGCAAAAGAAAAATTATTAAATTTCCTTACTACTTACAGCCCATTGACACGTCCTTGAAACAGGCAGAGTGACATTCCTCTAGGAACTCAGCTGCCTCAATGTTAATACTTTGCTAAGGGCAAAAGGCAGTCTTAGCTTAACATTATTTCAACCCCCCAGGATCCTGTAAGTCTATCCCTTCAGGGATAGTTTTTTTTTTTTTTTTAAGATTTTATTTTTAAGTAACTTCTACACCCAACTTGGGGCTTGAACTTACCCCAAGATCAAGGGTTGCATGCTCTACCAACTGAGCCAGCCAGGCGCCCCCATAGTTCTTGGACCATGTAGCTTGTCAGGCATGGTAGGTGCTGGGGATATAGTGGTGGTCTCTGCTTTGATGGCACTTATATGCTGACTGATCACAGGCTCCTTCTGTGGGAAATGGGGCTTTCATTGAACGGGGAATGGACATGATGTGATTCCTATCGCAGGAAGGTCACCTTGGTGGCTGTGTGAAGCAGTGTGTGAAGGGGACCACACCTGAAGACAGAGAGACTAGCTGGATGACTATTAATTAATTCAACCGAGAGGAGCTCTGTGAAGGCACAAGCAGCAAGGATGGAAAGAAGAAACAAACTTTCGGATGCCTGGGTGGCTCAGTCGGTTAAGTGTCTGCCTTCGGCTCAGGTCATGATCCTGGGGTCCTGGGATCAAGCCCCACATCCCCTTTGCCCCACGCCCTGTTTGTGCTCTCTCTCACTATCTGTCTCTCTCTCTCAAATAAATAAATAAAATCTTAAAAAAAAAAAAAGAACTTCGATGTGAAACTTGACAACTAGCCTGAATCTGTAAGTTTTGGTGACTACTTGGACCTGAGGGATATAGAAGAGGGTAAAGCTTGAATGGCCCAGAGTTATCTGACTTGTGTAAGACATGATACTCTCACTGAGTTTCAGACAGGTGAGAGCCTGGCATGTGAGCCGGGGCTGGGTTGTGGTGTTCTGGGAGTTGAGGCCGGAAGGAGTGTGATTAGAATGAGTGGTCAGAGTGGATGGAAGTTGGGGAACATAGGAGGTGTGACTTGCCCTCGGGCTCCAGCATGTGGAACTAAAGGGGGGTGTTCCAGACAACTTCAAGATGTCCAACGGGACTATGAGTGGGGCCCTGAGCTATGGGGCTCTGGCCTAAGGCAGCCAGTAGAGAAGCTCTTGAAGACTGTGGAGAAGGCACAAGAAATCCCAAAGGTCTTCTGCATGTCACCAGCTCTGACTTCGGTTTCAGTCTAGGTACTGAGTCCCTCCTGCTAGTACTGATAACCAAGAGGTGACAAGGTGTTCCTGTGAATGCTTGGTGCTAGTTGTTATTTAGCAATCTGGCTTTGCCTCTCCTTGCTCTCCCAACTCTCGTAACTTCCACTGCTCCTTCTAAATACACCTCCATCCTCAGCTCCAGAACCCACTCAGCAGATTGAATATTTCAGCCATGGAGTATCTTATCCAGGTCTCTCCCATTCACTCAAGGTGGGCAGATGGAATTAAATACTCTGCAAGTGGTCTCAACAGCAAATGCTATGTATTGAGGGAATTATGGATGTAAAAAGAAATGCTGGTATTACTTTTTCCATCCTACCGTTTTTTTGTTTTTCTTTAGCATAAGGAAGATAGACTCCAGGTCCAGATATCCGCCAGTCTCAGGGCATGTGGGGTGGTGACTCTGGTGATTTTGGATTTGGTTCTTCTAAATGGTCCATTTCCTCCCATGTTGCCTCATCAGAAGCAGTGATACCATTACCAGAAGTTAACCTTTTCTTTTTCTTTTTTTAAGCATTTGCTGATGAGTGTTAGCAGCATGCGAAATTCTTTTGACAACTGTTTGTTCTCTTTCCTCATTTTCTTAGGTAGGACCAGTGGTGCATTAAAGACATTTAAGAAATGCAGGGTGAAATTAGTCTCAAGTCAGGGAGAATGGCTGATAGAGCAGTTGGGAAACAACGAGATAGACATGATGTAGTTTTTCGCAGTTTTGTAATTAGAAAGAAATAACTTGTTACACATGCAAAAAAATCAGATAGCCTAGGCTGGGAGGTGGAGGGTGGAGAAATTAGGATAGCAAAATGAGTAACATACACTGTGAAAAGATTAAGGCACAGTTCTAGAACGTAGCTGTGGTTCTAGCTACGAGAGTCACTGGATAGAATGTCTGACCAATGCTGAATGACACAAGGAGCCATCAGGGTTAAATGAAGCAAATGCATGTGAAGGAACTCTATGAACCCGTAACACATTGTGCACATTCATTATTTCCATTACTATTTTGAGAACTACTTTATGTGTTTCCTTCAGTCCTATAGAATAGTATTTTTTTCTCCAGAGAAGTCAATGATTTCTTCTCTACGTTCCTGGTACCCCACCCACTCCGCCTTCACCTGCCCCCCCAACCCTCCACACCTACACTGAGGTCTGAGGTTTCTGTAAACCTCTCCCTGCTGCTCATGTCACTGTGCCTTCAATGAGAGCACAGAAATACATCGCAGCATCCTCCAGCCGGGAGTCTGAGATCCTGAGACTGAAGGATTTTTTTGGTTTCTGGAAGTTCACAGAGAAGCGATCCTTTGTTGCATTCTCTTGCTTATAAGCTTCTTGGTGAATAATGAGAATCATCTCCCCGCTGGGAGGCTGTTTGTACCAGAACAAATAATAATCACTGTTGCTGGTGTCATACGTGCAGTGCAGGGTCACAGTCTCTGTCTCCCGCACACGCATATCTGGTTGAGTCTGAGTGACCGTCTGGGCTGTGCTGGATCCTGTGGGAAAGAGGAGAGGGTATTTCACACCAGGCAGATAAGGCAGGCCGACTCACAAGCTGATCCCATCCTCCAACCACCTTTCCTTTTCTTGATCAAACTTCAGGCAATATCCATCAGCTTCTTTGCCCCCAATAGCCAGAACCAACGAGGAGGTAAGATGCTTGTTTTCCTAATCTTTATCCCTAATTCCCAGTCCTGTTGGATAATAGTAAAAGCAAAAAGGTGTGCCTTCCTTACCAAGATAGGTGGCGACCACGAGTGCCCACAGCAAACTGGGGCAAGCCATGCCGGCAGCTCTCTCCTGAAAAAGGCTCCTGTTCTGATCTGCATCTGGAGTATCATCTGTGTCCACTGACATCACTGCTCCACCACAGGAAACGGTATGTCAGGTGTGCTGTTGGTTATGTCTGGCTCAAAGTTTATCAGTGCTGTTTGTCTTTTGCTTCAGAGAATAAAAGTTCGGTTATAGGGCCACATGAAAAGAGAGGTCAGAATTGTAATTTATTCTGAGATAAAAATCAAGAAGAGAAGGAGCTGCTAAATTGTTTTTGTGATGACTTAATCTAGGAGAGGAGGATGGAGTGGTTGGGGAAAAGACAGGCAAAGCTAATGTAATGACTTTAGCTTTCTCTGTCAGCTTGCTTTCTCTCTCTCTTTTCTTTTTTAAAGTCTTGAAGCCAATATCATAATGGTCTCTGGAATGCCATAACTCAGGTCTTGGTTATATTATGCTTTGACCAATCCTGTATTTTAGTGATTCCTCCAAACTTCCAAATAGTGTTAAAGACAACAGCAACGTTCAGATGGTCTAGAGAAAATTGGAACCAGGACTTTGATACCTAACTGCACTGTTATTTGCTTGAAGACTTCTTCTTTTTTAAGAATACCTGGCTTAGGGGGCTCCTGAGTGGCTCAGTCAGTTGAGCAGCTGACTCTTGGTTTCAGGTCATGATCTCAAGGTCCTGGGATCAAGCCCCACGTTGGGCTCCATGCTCAGCGGGGAATCTGTTTGGGATTCTCTCTCTCCCTCTCCCTCTGCCCCTCCCCGCTGCGTTCCCGCACACACACACACACACACACACTCTCTCTTTCTTTCTCTCTCTGTAAAATAAATAAATAAAAGATCTTAAAAAAAAATGAATACCTCGCTTAGGCGGTGTCAAGGAGCTCCACAACTCTGCAATACCGGCAGCAAATGTTCCTGTAAGGACTTCCGTGTACATGGCTTGTGTGAATGAAGAATCAGAATAGTTGGTATACTACTTATTTGGGCACACTCTGTGTTGCACACCTGACAGCGTTTCACTGCCATGTCGTTTTTCCTCATGCATGCATTCTCCTATGAGGAGGCAATTGAGCAAAAATGAAAACTCACGATGCAAGGAACCATTCATTTGCATTAATTTTTACTTCCTATTGAGTTTTTATAATCCAGTCTTAGAAAAGGCCATCTCTGTGGTCCAGCTTTATGTAAACTTTTCCTCTGCATAAAAGAAGGGAGAAAAAAGAGAAGGCAAAAGCTGTCTTGCTGTCCAGGGAATGGTAGCTTTAACTCCCCCAACCTGTTTATTATTTCCACTCGGGAAATGTGATAAACAGTAGGCATTTGGCCACAGACGCCACTCTTGACTTCAGAAAACTTTTTTTTTAAAAAAAGTTTTATTTATTTATTTGAGAGAGAGAGAGAGCACGGGTGGGGGTTGGGCAGAGGGAGAGTGAGAAGCAGACTCCCCGCTGAGCAGGGAGCCCAACACAGGGCTCGATCCCAGGACCCTGGGATTATGACCTGAGCCGAAGGCAGACACTTAACTGACTGAGCCACCCAGGTGCCCCCAGAAAACTTCTTAAAGTACAGTCTGGTGAATTATTGTAGATGGCCCGTTCTTCTTCCTTTTTAGTGATTAAATTTCTGCCATGCCTACCATTTTCTGGTCAGGGTCCCACAACATTGGTAAAAATGTGATTATTTTACAATTTCTCCCTTCTTCTCTTCAGTCTTTTTAGAAAACTCTAGATGATGGACTGTCTTTTCTCTCCATGTCAGTCCCATTGAAGCTATGAATTCACAAATGAGGCTCTCAGGAGGGAATGTTTTCTGCCTCTTGCCCCCATTTACTGTGCACATAATAATGTTTGGGGATCCCAAGCCAGAGGGCCTCTCTTGCTGTGTTTTAGATCCTTTCCTATTCCTCTGGGCCCCGCCAATAAGAATTTTAGTATCTTCTATCCATCATCCGATCAGATGCTAGCTGCCACAGCTGATCTGGCTTTTGAACTCTGAGGATTGAACAAGATAATGCATAAGCAAGAACTTTCCAGTGGGCAAATATGGGGCTGGGCAGAAAGCTGCCTTTTCCTTTCTCTTCCTTTTTATTTTTTTAAATAGATATTATGTCCTAATGATCCTTATTTTTGTTTTTGGGGTTTCTGCTTGTTTGAAGTAAGAACAATTATTAGGTTGGGTCATTTAGGAAATCTATAGAAGGTGGTGAGCAAAACCAGACTATAGTATATTAAACAGAAAGGAAGGGCAAAGAGAATAGAAGAAGAGGTTAAAAAACAAAAAGCGGTGCCCCATCTGGGGCAGTCTGAGAAGGTCTACTATACTCCCTTGGGATATGAACAGTATTTGGTAACTATTGTCATTGATTTCTCACAAGAGTTAGCTAGTGAGACTATATGAGAGTCAGCTAGTTAGACTATATGAGAGTCAGCTAGTTAGACTATAAAAAGTAAGAGGTAGGAGAAAAGTATGGGGACATCACACGCCTACTCCCATGTTGTCATGGGGTAACTTTTACAGAGGCAGAAGCTAAGGCACATCAACAATTAATGGCCCAAGTGGGAGAACCTGCTCCAGATGTCAAGACATTCCCTCTTGCTTGGTGGGTCTTGACTGAAGAACACTGAGGGTCTCAGCCCCAATCACCTCCAACATCTCATGTTTAGTGTTCCCATGACTTCACTTACTTACTTAAAAATACAATGAACAAAAAACTTGTAAAAAATATTTTTATAAGTTTTATGTGTGGTCATTATATTCATTTACAATTTTATTTTGTCAGAGATGATGATAGGGACAGTTTACTAGCTCCCAGGTGGAGGTCCCAATGCAGGGACGAGTTCCAGCGCACTTGGGTGCTGTCTGGGGACCGTGGGCTTCCTTCGGCACAGAGGCAGGTGGCTGAGTCTCTCAAGTGGGCAGTCTGGATGTGCAGGGAGTGGTAGAGCTGGGACTGATACGGGAGGAGACTGCTAATCATCCCTTGTACTCCAAAGCCCTTTTTCACCACAACAAAAACCAAGGCACCAGATTTATTATAGATGATTTCCATACTATACCTGTGAATCTAAAATACTATGCAGGTAATTATAGTAGATATTAAAATTCTTTCCTTCTTGGATAATTTGTTTTAGGAAGGACTTTTTTTTTTTTAATTTGATGGTTAATTTTCTTAAAAAGAAAACGAGGAGTGGATTACAAAAATTCACTTGTTCTTTGAGTGCCTTCTATGAAAGACAGAGACTGGTTCTTGGAAACTTCTGGGTCCTCTGGGGTTCCTGATGACATAAATTCTCCCAGTGCACATACCATCTGAAGCCACCAGATCATAAATGTAGCTTCCAGAAGCTTTTCTTATGCTTTGGCCTTCGTAAGCCCATGGAGGATTTGATTCCAGGATGTGGAAATCTGACTCAGACTCTTTAGATAAAGAAGGGTTTGTTCCAGTTTTTTGGTATGTGTGAGGGACGTAGATGCTGGAACGCGAGACAGGTTTTTGCAAAAAACTGCTGTGAACGAATGCAAGCAGTGCCCTCTTCAGGCCAAAGTAATAATAACTGAGGCAATTTCTATGATTTACTCCTCTCTACACAGAAAGAACTTGGTTTGTTTAGTCAAGAAATCTGTTCTGGAAGTAATCTGTTTATATATATTTCAGAATTCTGTTTACACTCAATGAAGAGAACTTAAAAAGAAATTCAAAAAATTCAAGGAATTCAAGAGCTTGAAGTGTTTCTGGGTCAGTAAGGATGATAGGTGGACTGGAGTAGAGCTGTATTTGGGGAAGAAGTAAGAATGAGGTTTAAATAGTAGAGGGTGAGCAGACGCAGGGAAAGGGATAATGATACGAGAGTTTGGATTTGGTATGTAAAGTTTTCGTGCAATGAAAAGACATGATCACACATCTTCAGAGACTGGAGTTTCATGAATGTGATCTGCTTCACCAACTTTTGAAAAAATAAGGTGACATCTTCTATGTTTTTAATTAATCACTCAAGTACCCACCTGCTGTTATTAGCAATCAGCCCAGGAAAATTCGCTTTGAACTCTCTTCTGTTCTTTCTCTATTAAATTTTCAAAGAATATGTTAATTCTGTCTTCTCCCAAAATAGAGCCTAAAGCAAGGACTTGGGTGATGGTAATTTACTTAGGAAGAAATCCGAGGCAGCAGGAGTGAGAAAATTGATAGCATGAGACTGGGGCTTGGTTTCACCAGGTTCTCCTGGGAAGCGTACAGGATGCCTCTTGGGGACTGTCTGCTGGAAGGCAGGAAGCTAGGCCTGCCTAGGTCCTCTCTCCGGACTGGCTGGGGGCCTTGCCAGAAGGAGTGGTAATTCTCCTATGCTTACAGGCTCTGCTTGCCTGTGGCCTGAGTGAGCTCCTGAGGAGTCAGAGAAGGCTCTGGGGTAGGAAGTAAAAAAATACACAGTGCATGTGTCATGTTGGGTGTTAGCAACTTGAGATGAGTCCGAGTATCCCGAGAATTATCTCCATACTTATTGATAAAATCAGAGCTGGGCATTTGGACGTGACCACAAAGCACATGAGATCTTTGTTACGAAGCTCTCTTTGCACTATTCGGATGGGTGCTTGCCCTGTATTATTTTCACTGTGTCACTGAGTCTTTAAGGTTGTGGCTGGCTGAAATCCATCTAAAACACTTAATACAGGGGGTTTGCACAACATGACCTTCAAGACCCACTTCTTTAACTGGTACCAAGGCTATAATTGAAAGTCTCTTCCTTCTTCCACCACATTCTCGAGATTTCCCTGCCTTTGGATAGCACTTTTGTGGACCTAGATTGTTGGCCTGATAGGGTGAGCCAGATCTTCATTGCGGAGGGGTCTCAGTTCTTGATCACTCTGTCCTTTTCAGGCCGTAACTGCCACCTGCTGTTTTTGTTAGGCATGAAATACCCACTGCGGACACTTAGATTCCAGACATATCCCTCCTTGCCCTCACTGGGTAATAACAACCCGATGCTTCATGATAATCAGAGTCAATTACCCCTCCTTTCTTTGCCAGCTGGAGCATTGGCACAGGGAGTTCAAAGTGGCCTTGGCAGCAGCCATAGCCTCAAGTTCAGTGGAACCCATGCTGAATCCTCTGGTGGAAGCCTTCTTCCCCTGGGTCCTGGGAACTCTAATCCAGCAGAGCCTAGGGCTGTGGGAAAGCGAAACACAAATTCTGGAAATGAGTTACAGGGTGTGATAGTAGAAGAGTCTAGTCTACTTCTATTTCTTCATTTCTAAGTTTGTGTATTTTAGATAAGGTGCCACAGAACCGTATATCAGTCACCAGTTTAAAGAATATTATCGCTTCCAGGAATACAGCATTCCAACCACTAAGGGTGATGCTGCTGAGCTGGCTTCTTAACTGAGCCTTTACTAGGCCATTCTATCATCCTCTAAGGTCATCTGACCCGGGTACTATGGGTCTATGTCGTCTTTTAGGTCCATGGTAGGACCAGTGGATCCCTTCCCTGGTTATGCCTTCAACTGTCACACCCTTCGTGTTCTCTCTCTCTCTCTTTTTAAAAATTTTATTTATTTACTTGAAAGAGAGAGAGAAGGGGCACAAGCAGGGTTTGGGGCAGAGGGATAAGCAGGCTCCCCACTGAGCAGGGAGCCCGATGTGGGGCTCAATCCCTGGACTCCAAAGGCTGATGCTTAACTGACTGAGCCACCCAGGCGCCTCCACCCTTCGTGTTCTAGAATGGGTACCTTGATCACACACCAACTAGCAAAATGGAAAAGATTAAGAATTTTGGAGGTATGAGCTCCCAGGCAAATTATAAAGATTTGCTGGACAGAGAACATGCTTAGGAAGTCTGATCTGTCAAATATACCATACAAAGTGATGAGGGTTATATGTGACAGAATGTATGAAGATACTTCGTAAAACTGGAAAGCACTACCCATATTATTATTTTTACTGTTATTTTAAGGATTATAGTTTACAGACATCCATCTCTTTGTGTTTCTTCTATTCAGAAAGAAGGAGCTTTTATTTCAAGAGAAGTCAATGATTTTCTATATTCCTAGTACCCTAGCCATCCCATTCCCCTCCCCCCAGCCCTGACCTCCGCACCTACACTTGAGGTCTGAGGTTTCTGTAAACCTCTCCCTGCTGCTCATGTCACTGTGCCTTCAATGAGAGCACAGAAATACATTGCAGCATCCTCCAGCTGGGAGTCTGAGATCCTGAGACTGAAGGATTTTTTTGGTTTCTGGAAGTTCACAGAGAAGCGATCCTTTGTTGCATTCTCTTGCTTATAAGCTTCTTGGCGAATAATGAGAATCATCTCCCCGCTGGGAGGCTGTTTGTACCAGAACAAATAATAATTACTGTCGCTGGTGTCATACGTGCAGTGCAGGGTCACAGTCTCTGTCTCCCGCACATGCATATCTGGTTGAGTCTGAGTGACCGTCTGGGCTGTGCTGGATCCTGTGGGAAAGCGGAGAGGGTATCTCACACCAGGCAGATAAGGCAGGCCGACTCACAAGCTGATCCCATCCTCCAACCACCTTTCCTCTTGATCCGAACCCCAGGCAGCACATATCAGCTTTCTGCCTCTCCATAGCTGGGCTCTGAGATGATGCAGTACCTGGGCTAGGACTCTCTCCTTCCCGGCCCCGTTAGGTAACACTACACAGGAAGACCTACACCTTCCTTACCAAGACAGGTGGACACCACGACTGCCCACAGCAGGCTGACAAGCGGCATGCTGACTGCTCTCCCCTGCGGGGTGAAGAAGAGTCTCGCGCTCTGATCTGGGTTCTCCCTTGTGCCCCGCGGCACTTCTGCTTCAGAGCCGGAAATGATCTGACAGGTGGGGGGCTGATTTTATCTCACTGAAGAAAGTTTGCCTCATACTTTTTGTGGTCTCCCTTTCAGGAAATAGGCCTTTGGTTATATGATTTCAAGTGAAAATGTAAAATGATTCCTGAGGTCTTCTATTTCTGGGATGAAAATAAAGGAGAAGGGAGCCAGCAAATGTATTTCTGATATGCCCCAATCTTGGAGAGGAGAGTGGGACCTGGGGTGGGTTTCCTTGGCAACAGTGGCAAACTCTGTAATTTTTCTTTCTTTTCTTCAAAAATAAAAATGACAGAGTAAGTATGATAAATATGAACAATTAGTTATGAGTGATGTGAATACCTGTTATATAGAATGTATTCAATTTTTTATATTTCTACAATTTATTCACAGAAAGAATGAGAAAAAGATTGATTTCTGTAACTGAAAAGATCACTGACTAGACTCAGAAGCGGAACATGTCATGTCTGAGTGTGTTGCTATTTGCCACGGATTCTTAAAAAATAAGCCCCTGTTTGTGCCGCACCAGGAAACTCCACAACAATGACTGTAGGAGTTCTCACAGTATTGAGTCAGTTGCCTCACACAACTCACATAAAGACTTGTCCTCCTCACTCTCATTCCATCTTGAGGAAATGTTGTGAACAAAGAACATTTAAAAGGCTAAACTATGATCCCTTTTTCAAAGGGAGTGACAGAGATAGTCATGTAATTCCGGAGCTAGAGTCCCCAAGCCGGAGTATCCATGGGGTCCTGTCACAGAGGAGGCAGTATCTGAGAAGCACGGGTTCTCTGTGACACAGAGGTAGGTGGCTGAGTCTCTCCACTCAGAGGGATGTGCAGGGAGTCATGACAGTTGGGACCAGCCCTGAATGAGGTTGTGAAAATCTCTTGTTTGAGAGCAATGCAAGTATTTCTTCTAGATCATCTCCATCCTTGTCCCCTGATATGAATTGTTGTATTTTGGTTTTGGATCCTTGTAAGTCAGCTCCAATTCAAGGATTTGTGTATAAGCAGTTTATGTGCAGGTCATTCCGGGAAACATTGGTAGGAAGTGAATCAGGGAAGGGAAGGAAGCCAATACAGGATGTTGTCAACAAGCCAAATATTACTATTGCCAGTTGGAGCTTAACCTAGCTGGTAACTCTGGAAGACAGCATAGCACACCCTTTGGAGTTGTTCCAAGTGAGGCATGAAGGGCCTGGAGAATTCATCCGTAAACCCATTGTCCATCACTGAGTGAGGGCTGCTGTGGGGGCATTAACTCTCCAGCACATCTGGCTAGCCCTGCACATTGGCCACATGTATTCCCATGGCCAGAAAATGGTACTCAGAGTTGCTGGGTTTTTCAGTATGTAGAGGTGACTGTCAAGGGGATGTGAATAGAGCACCAACAGCATCTGTACTTGCACTGTTGAGATCCACTTATGCTCTATGTCAAATCCACTGGATCACCAGTTCTTTAAAAAAAAGATTAACAGAAGGATTAATGAGACAAATTGTAATTGCAATAGTTGATTTCATGGCTGTAATTCGTATTTATTGTCTCTCCCAATCTACCTTCTATACCACTCATTCTTGATCCTTCCAAATTTGGCTAATACATCTATTGGTCTAAGTTTCTATCTCAATGAGATAGAAACTCAGTAAGATAAAGATCTCAATAAGATCTTTATCCCCGAAGGGTCTAAACCCCTCATTATTCTTCCCTTGTCAGGTCATAGTTGCTACAATTGCTTATTTATAGTAATCACTGTCATGAAAGCACTATGAGTCATCCCAGTGAATACCCTGAGATTTAGCCATATTTTCCCAGCTCCCATTGGGTAGCAACCACCCTATATCCTCATGATAATCAAAATTGACTGCCCCTGCCACTGTAGTAATTCCTTTCTTGGCCTTCTGGTTTTCTGACATGAGGACCTCCAAATGACCAAGTGGTATATGTAACTTTAGATGAGGTGAAAACTTCTCTGTGTTTCCCTGGTAACAGTATCCCCCCTTTCCTTTCCCTTCAAAGGGAAACAGACCCTCTGGTCCAGAACAGTGTGAGAACAGGAAGCATCAACATCCAAGTGAGTCATTGGAAGTAAGAGTTGGTGGGGAGATAGTCCTACTTATACCCCTTGGCTCCCAGACCCATGTGTTTTATCTAATAGGAACATAGCATCATAAGGAATAGCTCTCCAAGATCTCAGAGCACTGTCCTTAACTGGGGCTTTACCTGACCTTTAAGTGATCATTCCAGTGTGGTTTGTTGATAATACTGTAGGAGTGTCAGTATTCCCAATGGTCACATGTCCATTGTCACACCTCCTTGCTATTAAGTGAATTTGTTGATGCAAAGGGATGTGAAATCCTATAATCATCATGACAATCAACCAGCCACTCTGAGCCCTCAGTTCATGCTGCTATGTGTGGCAGTGTGGAGGGAAGGCAGATCATGCCCAGAGTATGTATTAACTCTGATAAGAAAAGATTTCTGCTACCTCCAGAGTGCAAATGGTCCAGTGTAATCAATTTGACAACCAGTGGCTGGTTGGTCTCCTTGAGAGGTGATTGCATATTGAGACCTCAATGTTGTGTCTGCTGTTGACAGGTTGGATATTTGGCAGCAAAGGAGCTAAATCCAACGTAGTGAGAGAAAACCCATGCTTCTGGGCTCACAGAGAACTTCTGTCAACTTGGTTAATCTGTTCACAATCTTACTTAAGCATTGAAATAGACTAGAGACAGGCTGGTGACGTCCTCTGGAGGGATCACCTTGTCCGCGTGGTTGTTGGGCACTTCCTTGTAGTGGATGCTCTGTGGTGGGTATTGATGTGAGACCCAACGATCCAAACACTGCGCTTACACTCACTGCTCCTCGGTTCATGGTCACCCCAAGTGTGACTTGCCCTCCTCCCATTCACCTGCTCAGGGTTCTGACCCTAGAGAAGAGCAGATGTGGGGCACTTTTCAAAGACAACTGGCTTATAACTTCTGGCTATATCTCCTTTGACTCTTCCCTAGCCAGCCAGTTGGACTTTTATCCTCTTTTCGGGAGGAACCAGATTTTCAACCATACTGTGCTATCTTTACACTCTGCCCTTTATAAACTTTAAACCATTTTCCCTCAGCTTTTGGTACTTGATCTTCTAAGCCAGTCTTTTCAGAATGTCAAAATCTATTTTCTTTCACTACTGAATTTGACAGTCATGGCTTTTAAGATTTTGTATTTTCAGTATATTTGTAAAAGTCTACAAAGGAGCTCAAGGGCAAAAATTTTATTCTGTTATCTCTTTGTTCTTTAGTTCTCTCTCCTTTCTGATATTGAGCCTCAGGATTTTGGACTAGTTTTAACAGAGTAAAGACTTCACACTGAGAAACAAAATACATTAGATGGTATTTGAAAACATCATCCCTCTGCCCACGATCTTCAAATGAAGTATTTGACATCAGGTTATAAAAAGCCCCTCATGTTTCCCTTTGCTCAAAGTTAAAGTCAGTGCCTTGGAGCCCTTGTAGAAGAGGGTGCCGCGCTGAGCAGAGCTTGGGTGCAGGGTACAGGCGTGTGAGCAGCACAGAGCTACTTGCTGCGCACAGGAACCTGGTTGAGTCATGGAGGTGAGAATCGTCCACGTGCAGGGAAAAGTACTGATCCTCTCTGTTAAGACTGGCTATGAATCTCGGGCTCCTGGGTGGCTCAGTTGGTTGGGCGACTGCCTTCGGCTCAGGTCATGATCCTGGAGTCCCGGGATCGAGTCCCGCATCAGGCTCCCTGCTCGGCGGGGAGTCTGCTTCTCCCTCTGACCCTCCCCCCTCTCATGCTCTCTCTCTATCTCATTGTCTCTCAAATGAATAAATAAAATCTTAAAAAAAAAAAAAAAAGACTGGCTGTGAATCTTCCACTGACCTTCTCCTCGTTTGATTGCATTTCTATCAGAATGTGGAGGCTTTCCCCAGGATCCTGCCTCAACCGTTGGAAGAAACCCAAAATATTTTCTCTGTAACTGCAGTTCACTGTGAAGCTCTTTCTTTCCTGAACTTTCAGGTCGGGAGGGCCCTGTTCCATTGGTGGCTGTCCATTTGACCCTGTTCAGGAGGAGTGAGAAGATTTTCATAGATGAGAAACTTTTGTTGTTGTTGTTGTTTTGCTTTTTAAAGAATTCTCCTTATTTATTTTACATTCCTTAGAATAAACCCCGGAGGGACCCCTGGGGTCCCTGTAGATTTCATTTCCAGAGCCGCACCATATCCCTCCCTTGACCCTTCCCCTCCCCCTCACTCATAGTTTAGCTGGACACACAGGAGCATCAGTGAAGCTCTCAGGGGAATCTCCATTCTTACTTCTTCCTGGAGTCTCTGAGGATTCAGTTTGGAGGCCTGGAACCGATGATGCTCAGTGGGAGTGGTTCACTGCTCTAGATTCTTCTGCTCCTTTTGGTTTGGAAGCTTGGGTGGTCTTCATTCTGTTTTCACAACCAATCAAAATCTGACCTGTCACATCAAACTCGTCATTGAATATCCTCTTTCCTGCTTCTCCCATCACACAGTTCTAGTTCCCAGCCATCACTTCTGCCCATGGAAGCATTGCCCCCATGTGGTCTCAAATTTTTAATTAAAAAAATTTTTTTTTCATTTTTTCCTTAATACAATGTAACTCGTTCTGGTAGATCAAAGGAACATAGACCATACAGAGAGGGAAAAGCAAACAAAAAGGAAAGAAAACAAAACATAGTGTTAAAATGTTCTCCAGTGATGACCTTCTGAATATTCTTCCTGCCCCGAACTCTCTTCCTCCCACTCCTCACATTTAATGGAAATCTACGAAGTTCTTTGCCCATGTGACTCCTGACTACATTCTGAGGGGTATAAATCAAAGTTTGAGAAAAGATCTGATCCTTTCCCTCAGTTGGTTAGAGTCT